TTCTTAAAAAAATCAAAATAAGTAAGGTTGGAGTTACTTTTTTAGCTGAATTGACTGAAGTTACGGTAGAGGACCATTTTAACTTTTTTTCATACATCTTTATTTTATTAATAAAATATATTTTAAATATTATTTTTCCATAGTTCATCTACTTCAACGAATTCAGCCATTGCAAACAGAACTGCATTAATTAAAATAGATATAGCCGATTCAGCCAATTTCAGTGTTACCAAACGGGATATTAGTGTCAAATAGATTTGCCTTGTGTTCCTGTAGAATGGAACTTTTTATTTTTTAATTTTTTATTCCCAATCATTTGGTTCAATAGTTGTAATTCTATTTAGTTAGTTTTATTGTGTGCTGGTCATAAATTTTCAATGACAGATTCGTGTCGTTATTCAGCTGTAATGCTATTTAGGTTTGGTTTTTTTTTTTTTTGTGTGGGCTGGAAGGAATTAAACAGGGGACTTTTGCTTGAATTAGCTGGTATAAAAGTTTCTGCTGATCTTAGTTTTAAAAAGCACACCTGAGGCGCAGTCAAGGGTGCACCAGGAATTTGACATCGACAACTCAGGGCGCTGCAGATTCCAGAAGGCACTCACATCACGCCACCTCCGCGTTACCTGAGGCACTCATCTCTGCTGCTTGCCCGCTTTGTAGCCTTATGGTTTTTATCATAGTAGGTTTAGACTTTTCCTCTGCCAAGTTATGGGTTTAGATTTGTTTATCTATTGATTAAACGTAGTTACGGAGCGGACACTTTCCACAGAGGCACAAATAAGAAACAACTCTCCATTTTCACCTTCATCGGATTTTCAATTCTCCTCCTCCTCCTCCTCTTACCACTGGTGCAGCAGCACCTATGTACATCACTATGTTAGCCTCTTCCTCGTCTTATTTCTTCGTTATCTGCTTATTACCTTGATTGTTTGACAATTTCATCCCAAGATTTTGTAATTATTGGTTTGGCTAAACGTTCGGGTAATAAATGCTATGAGGAATGATGTGCACATATATTCTGTGAGGCATGCCTTCCCGTTGAGCCTCACGGCTTGGCTAAATGTACCGAAAATGAATCGGCATGGCTCACATCTTTCATGGAATCTCACGCCTTGGCTAACCTAAAGTTACTCGGTGTGGTTCGTGTCCTTAAAAGGCTTAAACTGAGCCGCTGAACAAGGTTTTAGTTTTTGTAATGGTAACTGCTGAGTGTGTGCTTTAGAGCGGTTGCACGTGCTTTAGAGTTTAGACTAATCATTGGTGTAAAGTTTGGAATGTAATGTTTGAAGAATTTTATGTAGTTATTAATTAATTTAGTTGATAAATTCTAGTTTTTGACGGAATTTTCACTATGGGTCATCTGGAAACAATTTCTCTGTGCTTTAGTACCGGGGTAAGACTGCTTACATCCCCCTCTTACCCCACCGTAGGTAGGAGGAGCCTTTGAGGCACTGGGGTAATGATGATGATGAGTTGATAAATTCTAGGAGAAGAAGAATAATTTTAGTTCTATGGCTTGTATGAGACACACAAATTCTAATTACGTTGATACATCTAATTTTAGATTAATGAGATGTCTTTACTTATTTGGGTATTTGGTTTCAATTAATAATTAATAACTAGCAAGTTCACTACCCATAGTTCAACAAAAAGAAAAAATAGTCTAGTTGATTTTGAATAGATAACTTTAGACTGAGATGCTTCGTTGAACTTATAATGTCAGCTTCTTGATCGGTAAGGTGATGTATTTGTTGTTCTTACTATGTGTGCTTGTTGAATTTGTTTGAATGTTTGATAAGCTCCTATCCTTTATTCTTCCAAGTGAATATCAGAAATTGCCTTCATTTCTGTTCAAATAGTTTTATAATCCTTCATATATTGGTGGGTTTTCTAATATACTTTTGTTTCTTGTGCAACTGTTTTTGCTAATTCTTGCATGAAATCCTCTTCTAAAGTGGGTAGTCAATATGTCCAGTTTTCTCAAGGATTGACTTATGACTTGGTAATACATTAATTTCGTTTTAACATAAGCATACTCCACAATTGCAGTCTCTTTGGGACTCATGGTGAAAGGCTTCAGCTGCTTTCTCATAATCTCCTTCAGGTGAGAGGATAAATTGTTTTGGTCCTGTATATGTAACATTTCTCCACTTTCATTACTCTCTTGGATTCTCCTTTTCATCGCAGATCGATCTCCAGCTACACGACTTTTTTACATAGAAAACAAGTCATATCAGATATTTTTTTCATTGTTCTTTTTCCATATCGAATTTCATTTTGTGATAATTATGAGCTGGTAAAACTGGCTAATTTTGGATTCTTCTATTGTGAATTTTTTTCTAACTAGGACAACAAAAACAAGTGTGTTCTGAATTTAAGCTATTGACTTTTGGATATCATTAATCATATGCCTTCTTAATTTACTCATGTTGGTAATGGTAAAGCAATGGTTTTACTATTGTTTGATTGATATAAAAGTTTTATGGAATTAAAATCTGGTATGAAATATAAAGTCTGGATTATTGAAGATTATTCTCAGATTTTTCGATTCCTTCCCCAACTATTTTATATAGAAAGAGAAATCGTACAGCTTGTGACAGAAAGAAGTACAATACGGTTCTGACAGTGGAATTGAATATTTTGGACTTTTTTTTATCAACGCTTTTATTATTATACGGAGTATTAGTATACGCATGTACTTCCAATTTAAAACACGAAGCCAGCACAACACGGTCTCTTTGAATGTCTTCAGTTTTTCCAAAGCCTCCACTGGGAGATCAATAATCAATACTCCTCATGCACTCCGTTCCAATTTGATGGTTTCATTTCTTTTGGACACAAATTTTAATAAAGTGTTTGAAAAAGTAAAAGTTGTGGTTGAGATTTGAGTAGAAAAACGTGAAATGTTGTGGACCATATATTTCTTTCCAAAAAGAAAAACAGGACCATCATTTTGGGACATCCCAAAAAGGAAATACAAGACCATTACTTTGGGACGGAGGGAGTAATATAAATTAAAGTCATTTAACTTGTACGGAGTATATAGATAGTATAATGTGAAATTATAACTACATTGGTTTTTATACAAAAATCAAAGAATTAAATATATAGAGCGCGTTTGATAATCTATATTTTCGATTTATCATTCTTATCAATCAAATGTTTTTACTAAATACGGAGTATGAAGTATAATTTTTTATTTTATGCGTTCAATTGTTATGAAGGTCACGGCGAGACGAAAGTGGAAGTGCAGTGATGTATGCACTTGCGATAGACTTGAACATTGTTCCTTCATGACCTGATCAAATCGATCAAGCATTACGCATCTATTTTCATTGTTCAATTCTTTTACAATAACAAGACCAAAACCTCTCTTCCTTTCCTACTCTACTAAGAGATGGAATGACAGAGGCCTTATAATCGAAGTAAGTAAAGTTGAATTTGCATTTCTAATTGAATTAGATGAAATTACTATAGAGAATCATTGATTGCAATATCTTTATATTGTAAATATATTTTTTTCATTATTAAATATATTCACTCAATTCAATCATATCAGTCACAATTTTATTAATTTAAGCAAATTAAGTCGATTCAGTTAATTTTATAGTATGTTTGGTAACTCCCAAGTTCAACTTATTAGCGTCATTACTCAACTTTTTTTATATCAAACACGTAACGTTCTTTTGATTTCGCGTGTGAGATTGTGTAATAATCAAAATAAGTAATATTATAGTTAATTTTATGGTTGAATTGATTAATTGAATGAAGTTAATGTAGAGGATCAGTATATTGTGTAATTTCAATTTTTTATACTCCTATTTTGGGAATTTTCTCAAATTGTTTCATAATCATATTCTGCCATTTAATAAAACTTGTAGTTTATTTGCAAAGAAAAAAAAATATAAACTTTGTTTTTGCAAAAAAAAAAAAAATATAAACTTGTAGTTTATAATATCCAAAATTTAATTCGCAACACTTCCCACAACATTTTCGAAGATGCATTAACTTGATGAACATTGTAAATCAGAAGCATCAAAATGTTACTGGGACAAAGCTGAGTGATAAATAAACTTTTATAAAAGAGGGGTGAGACCGTGAGACGTTAGATATAATGAGAAATACTCCGTAGTACATTACAGTTTACTTGGAGCATCAAAATAGTAGTGTACATAACTCAAATAAAAGATTACAATGTTATATTGAGAAGTACATTACATAATGAGAAATTAAATTGTAACGAAATTAACATTAATTTAACAAGTAGTAAATGATAAAATTAAAACTACTTGTATAGTATAAGAATGGAGTTATTAAAACTCTCGTATGCATAATGCATGGCCTCTACCCAATATGCATCATCATGGTGACAAATTCATCATAGTTTACTTGACCGTCACCGTCCAAATCGGCCTCTCTTATCATTTCTTCAACTTCTTCCTCAGTAAGTTTTTCTCCAAGATTTATCATCGTGTGTCTCAACTGCAAGAAGTAAAAAAAGTTTTATTTAACGATATATATATATATATATATATAGAGAGAGAGAGAGAGAGAGAGAGAGAGAGAGAAAACTTCATGTTAGGCCGGCCTGACGGGCTGCCCCGTCCGGCCGAGCCCGTTTGGGCACCTTCCCGGTGGAATTTTTTGATGAAATTTTTTGAGCATCTTCCTCATCAAGTCTAGTTTGTCCATACCAAATTTCAGCTCAAAATTCAATCGGGAAGGTCGTCAAATGATTTTTTCAAGTTAACTGGTCCGGAATATGTATTTTCCAGACCAGTTAACTTGCAAAAATCATTTGACGACCTTCCCGATTGAATTTGGAGCTGAAATTTGGTATGGACAAACTAGACTTGATGAGGAACATGCTCAAAAAAAATTTCATCAAAAAATTCCACCGGGAAGGTGCCCAAACGGGCTCGGCCGGACGGGACAGCCCGTCAGGCCAGCCTGATGAGAAGAGCTATATATATATATATATATATATATATATATATATATATATATATATATATATATATATATATATATTGCTAGTTTGTTCTAGTAAAAACATTGCTTGTTATGTTAAGTCAAAAGATTTGTTACTTTAACGGAAAAAATCATAAATAAATAAACAGTTAACATATTCTTTTTATTTCGTTATGAAAAAAAGTCACCCCAAAATGTTTTAGAATTAAGACTTGAATTTTATTGTTGTTATGAATAAATATCCAAAAAGGATACACAACCACGCAAAAAATGAAGTTCGGAAGCTAGTATACATTTTTTGAGTAGGCGGTACAGCTCAACTTGTCGCCGGCTCACTCTCTCATATGAGAAGTTCAGGTTCGAAGCTTCAGTCTCCAGGGAGGGAATTTGAACCCGGTTTATCCCAGAAGGCTTCCCCCAACCTTGACCCCGGGGTAAAAAAGTATACGTTTTATATTCTCACTGTTTCATTTTCATTATTAACTAAAAAGGCATTGATTGACTAACGTTCTTTATTTAATGTAATTAATGAATTAGTCTTAGAGCCCGTTTTATATATATAGGTATACATTTGTCTGTAAGTATTAGTGCATTAAACAACTTTCAGCTACATTATGACTTGTGGCTAAAAGAATGAAAAAGCTGGTTGAATTGAAACATACACGCTTATAGGCTCATTTAATAATTATTCATTTTATGATAAATAAGGGATATAACGTGTGGTTTAGCTTGCTCATCGCATTTTCTAATCCATTAAATAAAATATTGTTTCGTAAGTATATAGTTTAACCAGTTGATAAGTCAAATAGATAGGTAGGAAAGACGACTTTCATGTTTGACTTCTTATTAACCTAATCAACCACACATTAATATAGTAAATAGAAAGTGAGTTTTCCTTAAAATGAATAATATTTATTTACAAAAATATGATTTTAAGCTACTATAGTACTTCGTTCAAAAAAGTTATCATAGTATATATAATGGCATCATGATCACTTATTAGGCATAAAAAATTAACATAAAGTATTATGACTAAAGTTACTATAGACTATAGTAGATCACTAAATTTAAGAAGTCAAAATTTTGCAAACAAATTTATTTAATGATAAACATATGTAATTATTTTATATGGAAATTAAATATACTTCGGATCTTCGAAGAATCTATCTATTAAAAAACCTTTAGTAAAAATATATATTACTTCTAATTAATCAACTCACCTCACTGGCAGAGATATAACCATTTTGGTCCTTATCAAACACCTTGAATGCTTCTTTTATCTCCTCGTCTTCATCAGTTTCCTGGTTGGTTTTGGAAGAAACAGTGCAAAATAACATTTAAATAAGGCCAGGGATCGATTATTAAATTTGGGTAATTTCTGGATTAGGGACGACATTCTGATTTAAAAAATACCTTAATTTTCTTGGCCATGAGATTAATAAATTCGGAAAATTCGATGGTTCCATTTCCATTGGTATCCACTTCATCGATCATATCCTGAAGTTCTTCTTTAGAAGGGTTATGATCCAAAGATCTGATCACTGTTGCCAATTCTTCTATTGTAATGCAACCTGCGTATATAAATTAATTAGTTTGTTAACAAGGTAATTGAAAAAACACTGTTGAAATACTTCTAAAAGTTATAAGTATTTGACATGTTATTAAAAGGTACTTGCAAAATTGAAAGTGTCTAAAAGAAAATATCCACTAATTTAAAAAAATATACAAATTTTGAAATGCAAGTACATGCATGAATCAACTCTTTTGGTATAGTGCATTATATTATAATAATACTTTTGTTTATGAGTTAACTTCAATAATATTTAAGGGTAAACCTAGCCTCTATTAAGTATGTAGTATGTATCTAAAATTTATGCAAGTTAGAAATGTGCAACAATGCAACTATGCAAGTATACATAAAACTATGATTTATGTCATTAAAAGTGTGAAGATAAAAATGTAAATACTTCACAAATAACATGTTAAATTAGTTTTCTTGATCATTTTAAACTTCAAAGCTTTCAAAAGGAGACAAAAACATAAAATAATCCTAGGTAAGAAGAGCTTGGATGCCTCATTCTTTACATCACATTATGAAACTTGTATAGAAATGGCTCAAATCGGAGAAAATCATAGGCACAATTTTAAAAAAGACTAAATGTATTTTCCTCCCAAAGTAATACAAGTACTTAATTAGTCCTATTAAAAGACTAAAAAGTTATGTATTTAGAAGAAAATAATGCAACTTCTCAGAAAATTTGCAAAGTTTTACTCCTTTTTAAAAGAAATTTTCTCAAAATTCTAATGCTACTATTAGAAAGAGTGCTAAAAAATGAAACTGACATAATCACATAGATGTCTGTAAATACATAGAGTGGGGTGAGGGTGGGGTTTGAGGAGGGGCAGGGGACCCCTGCCTCTGTTGGATCCCCATACTAGTATAAAATACACACAGTTTATGATATCTTTGGGAGGAAAATGTTTTTCTGTAAAAAAAACACTCAAATATGCCCTAAATACAGAAATGAAAACATCAGAAAAAGAGGGTAAGTTTAGGCACAAACCGTCACCATCTTTGTCAAAGAAATTGAAGGATTCCTGGAACTCTGCCATTAGGTCTTCCTTAATTCCCTTATACATGTTATTTATGTGTCTTTTGTATGGTGGGAAAAATTTCAAATAGAGGGAAAAACAAAGAGAGGATTGGAAAAGTAGAGAGGATTGAGTATATTTTGCTGAACTCTTGTGGGCTGGCTATATATAGGACGAGGTGAAGGAGAATAGTCGGAAAGAGGGAAAGTGTTCTTTCCTTTTTTGTCATGGAAACAAATGTTGTAATTCGTCAAATATTGGTGTTCGAGAATTAAAAATTCTTGAATGCCCTATAGGGCCTACACGGTAATGTCCATGTATTATGTGATCCAATGACGCGATATTGTGTACCGACTATTATTTATTTTGGGAGATATCGTAATTCATTACATATATACATATAACAATACAACTCAAAGCGTGCAGTAGGACTTCCAATAGCTAATCCACATCCAATGCTAAAAGTTGTACCATGATACTCTCCGCACAGGTTGAATCTTGACGTTTGCTTTTTGGACGGTGTTTTAGAAGATCAATTAATAGATTGAAGAGAAAATACATTTAATACTCTTTGACTTTTGATTGTAATTACCTGCACGGGACTACGGGTAGCTCAACGGTGACTGAGTGAGATTGTTGCATTGAAGTCTCAGGTTCAATTCTCGGCAACGGCGGTGTGAGAGTTTCATCCAATTTGGTGACTTCTTGTGCGCCCAGGCCCTGAACCATCCACTCAGAAAACCGTTTGAGATTATACCGTGACTTACTCATCCACCATTCTGTCCGGATGGGGTGTGGGAGCGCCTGGAGTAGGCAATTCCACCTTTTTTGATTGACTTTTGGGCGTAATTAATGTTATCTAAGTAAATGTAAAAAGTTGGTGAGTGGTGAAGGCTAGTTACCACAATTAATATAAGGTGACAACTCCGGTACCTACTATGCATTTGATTGATCCAAATCATTATATTCCTTTTAATTTAGATTTAAATAATCCAACTGCATCATTCTTATTGGTCCATGTGGACAAAGGTATAGTACCTTAAGGGTACCATAGAATCTACCTTAATATAAAGGAGTTACAAAAGAAGGGAATGTGAAGAATTAAATGTAATGTCTCAAAGAGGAAAACATAAAAATTTAAATGGGGCGAAGGGAGTATATAACAAGTGACCATGTTTTGACAAAGAAAATTATATTCTTTTCATCCCGCTTTTAATTGCACACATATTAAGGATTTTTTTTCACTTCTCTGAAATGTCTTGTATTGAGGGGTAATTATTTTTACTGCAGAGTATGCTATTTGTTTTGTCACTGTTTAATACGGAGTACTATATTGCATTGTGCTCTCATTATCATTTAAGAGTAATAGAGTAAATTGATATTAATTTGTTTCGTAAATAGAGAAAGAACACTCTATTTAGGGATATCCATTAAATAAAAGTGAGAAATTTATTAAGGCACGAGAGAGTTTAAAATTAGGTTTGAGCCATTCCCGTAATTAAGTTATATTAAGATCAGCAGTTATTGTCTGAACTAATATATTTACTCGAACTGAATTTTACAATTCAGAATATGAAATATTATATGGATGAAGTATTTGACAAAAAGTTAAAGAGAAAATTCTCGATATGGGAGTAGAACATAGAAACTATGCCAAAATAAAAGTCCTATTTGGCATCTTGAGCACAAGCTGTAAGCAAAGTACCTTTGTAATATGCCTTCATGAACGAGCCATCTAAGATAAGTATTGGTCTACAAAAGTCCCATGCTTCACGCCAAGGTTTGAGTGAAATAAAAAAAATACCGAAATGCACCATCAGCAGCAGTTATAAGTTTTATGGTAGAATTTGGATTTGCTTCTTCAAGTACATACGCCATTGAAGATAGCTTCGGGTATGACTCTGCATCAGATCCGAACTGCCTTTCCACTGCATGTTTCTGTACTTGCCAAGCTTTCTTGTACGACACATAAATCCCATATTCCAGATTCATATCATTCTGTATCTGTTTTGGCGTATAAGGTTTTACAAAAGCATCCAAAAATTTATGTGCCACAAGATTAACAACAACACTTGATGTTGCCTGTCTACTGTTAAATTGCCTATAGTCAACAGAGAAAGTGTACACAATAAATGCAATTGAAGACAAAGAACAAAATGTTATCACATAATACACACACAAAAATGAGAAAAACAAAAACAAAAGTATTAGATATAAGTAGCATGTCAACATACCTTCTAAACTCAAACATATGGACACCATCCAAACAAATAATGTGTAATTCTTTCTTCTTTGATGTCAGAGTTCTGAATTGGAAACTGTTGATGATGGCATACAACTTTAAATGATGAAGTAAGTCAGTCCTGTTCTTGTAAATAATATTAATCATAACACATGTTGGATGATAATGACTAATTACGCCAACAAGGTGGTTAGCAGAGACACACTGTAAGGATAATGATTTAGAACAAACACCAGAAAAATTAGGCAAAACAGTTGATGATGAAATGTTGCTTTCTGATGAAGAGGAAAAATCTTCTTCTTCATTAATAGAAGCCAAATTGCTATGCAACCCATTCCCTTGATTACTACAATCAGAGTCACTCACATGCAAAGACAATGAAGATGTACTAGAACCATGTGCAACTGAGTTATGAACTGGTACAAAATCATGAAGAACAGAAACAGTTTCAGACTTAAACTCCTCACATAGTGGAAACTTTGCAACATCCGTCTACAAACACTTCAAATAAAGATAGAATTTCAAAGTTTCATCATCAACAATAAAAACAAGAGGCGGGCAACCATCAACCATATAAGAAAGCCTGAATGAGTGATTTGCCTAGTACTGATTTAAGATGCCACGCAGCAGATCAATTAAGCTCGTGTAGGAAGAATCAACTCCAATATGAATACCAAATGTATCCATACTTGTAAATGTATAGTCAGACAACCATGTACCATCCAATTTAAGCATAACAAGCAACACAACAACCATTTGTAGAAATTAATGCCTAAACACAATGAAAAGTTGGGAACAACTGAGTAAAAGAAAAATAGCAACACAACATAATACATAAATCAGAAAAGTAAAACCGTTATTATGACATTTAATGCCAAACAAAGAGTAGTTAACAATGACATAAAACAAATGAAATAATAGAAAAATAAAAATCGATACTCAAACAACATCGAATCACAATATAAATCACCAATTGGACAACATATATCAACTCTTAGACAAGAAATTTACATACCAAAAAAATCATAAAACAAATACGAATTACATTTAAACTAAACCGAACCTATTAGAATTTATTTGCAAAAGACATATATGCACAATTAAATATAATCAGCATTCCAGAATATGATTAGCAATACGTTCGAAGATAGATGTAATGAATATTCCAGAAAATCAAGGTTTAAACTTACCTGCGGAAAACGCAGGGGACAACAATGCGTAACATGAACGAAAACAACTAAGTTCGCAAAATCAGCAGCAATGGCACGTCGGAAGAGAAGAAAGAATAGAGACGATCCATAAGAAGGAAAGAAATATTGAAAGCTGCGCAGGAAATCTCCAACCGGAAGAAGCGGTTAGAAACAGGTAGCTTATGTGGCAAAGCTTCCATGTAAAGTAAGGGCATTTTAGGAAAAAATAAAAATAAAAAATTTGCTTATGGCGGCAGACAACAGCTCCTATCTGGGGAATAAAAAAATTCCATATGTTTAACTCCCATTGAGGGTAATTTCTTAAAGTTAATATACCCCGGTATGGCGGCATCTAAAATCAGAGTTACATTAGAGGACATGTATATTATTAAACTAAAATTTAAAAAGAGAAATATAGAACCAAATCAGTTCATAATGCCTTATCTTCGGATCTTCCTGACCTTCTTGAGAGTCTAGGGGTTCAAGTTACAAACAAGTTTGCATTGTTATCTCCCAGATAGTGACTCGTCCGCTTTTTGCAAGGATTCAATTCCTTGTTGCTCTCATTCATTCATCTTTCTCACTTTCATTCACACTCATCTTACCGTGGTCAATTACTCATAACACACCCGCCCACATGATCTAATGTGATGACTCCTAACTAGATGCTCAACTCACTCAATAGCCCATACTTGAATTTAGGGGCGGAGCCAGAGCACTAGATCGAACTAGGGACGGAACCAAAGCACTAGACCGGACTGGCACAAAAAAAAATTGTTAGAAAAAATTTTATACGATTTTTTTTTACCTTCAAATTACGCCATTTTTAAAATTTGGGGTAGGCCAGGACCTAGATTGGCCCACCCCTAGCTCCGCCCATAGACCGGACTAGATCGGTACAAAGAATATTTTTGAAAAAAAATTTACATGGAATTTTTACCTTAAAAATTAAGGTATTATTTAATTTGGGGTAAGCCAGAGCATAGGTTGGCCACTTTCTAGCTCCGCACTTGCTCACACTTAAGTGAAGAGTTCTTATAAATGAGTCTCCTTGAAAGAAGATGCATCCATCTTTTTTGTATGAGAGACTTTTATTTCATTCAATTTTTTTCGAGTATCACAATAACCCACAATTAGGAATGTAAATTGTTTGTTAAGGTGATTACTCCTAGCTATTACCACAAAACAATACAAATCTTTACGATATACATTGGCCTCACTTGTGCACACTTTAGGAATCTTTTTCCCAATTTGTGTACTCGAACAGTCGAACTCTCGACTTTCCTACTATTGTAGTACGTCTTGATTCACCATCCCAAGATTGATCCCGTACAAACACTCTTAACTAGAAAATTCAGAGCCAATGATCACTCTAACGAAATACATCTTGTTGGTATGGATAAAAAATTTTATTCTTTTAATTTCTGGAGGGTGTTGCATAAACTTTATTCTTTGCCTAAGCATCTCCTTACTCCATGCCCTCAACCCCACTTGTACCTTCTCGTCTTGGCGCCTACCAATATGTTGGCCGGTCCTAGCAAGGGATTACTCGATCTAGAGGCTACTCTTATACTACATAGTATCTACATGAAGTCATACACATCAACAATATTTCCCCCCCCTCTCATGGTCCACGCAGTTCATATACTAGTAAAAAACAAGTTTACCAGAATGTCTAATCCTGCATATAAAGAGAAAA